TAAGCACAGTCTCCATTATAAACACGGTCTCGGTGAGTGTTGCACGCATGATATCTAGCATGTACTGTAATTCGCTTTGCTCTGTATGGAGTTATCTGTTGAAAAGTATAAACACGGTCACTTTGGCAACAGTCCATAATTATAACCTGATAACGGTACAGACGTTTTGGCAGCAGTCCATGGGGATAATGCCATATTATTGGTGTAGACGTTTCTTGGCCGCAGCCCATAACCATAACGGGACATGGGTTCATACAAAGATCACACTCCCCTGTTTCGATCATGTTAGACCTCCTCAGCGGACATTTTTGTATTTTTGTATTGTATTTTATTATTAAATAATATTTTAAGATGGCAATGAACAGAATCAGCTGAAACGACATGTTACGTTTTATTATTTTACTTGGGCATCAGTGTTACCATGGTTACTGGGCCAACAGATCGCAAGTCCACATGTACATTTAATGAGCCACCAAGCATTTTTATGCCGGCTCATAACATCAATTTCTAGAAAAGAAAAAGGACCAGTGAATTGCAAGTTACGCTATATAATGTCCACTTACACCACCAGTTACGGTATTTCCTCGATTAATGGACCATGCTCGAATAATAGACCATGCTCAAATAGTAGACCCTCCTAGAAGCCTCACGGAAAAATAGTAGACCATCCTCGAATAAGAGACCCGGTCTCTTATTTGAGTTCATCGTTTTGCGCATGCGCACTAAGAAAGCACGTGGTGGATCAAAAAAGGACGCGATTTTAGGTTGCGCAACTACAATTTTCGTAGTGGCTAGTGCTTTCTTTCATTATTTGAGCACAGTCCACTATATTTTCATCGGCACATCGCTGGAAATGTTGGATTTTTAACACGTCATAATATAGAACTTCTATAATTATTATGATGTGTTAAAGTTCTATTATTATGACGTGTTAAAATCCACCATTTCCAGCGATGTGCCTATGAAAATATAGTGGACCGTGCTCAAATAATGGACCATGCCCAAATAAGAGACCGGGGGTCCAACCCTCTTCAAAAAACAAAAGACCGGGTCTATTAATCGAGGAAATACGGTACCCTTTTAACAATCAGCTCATGCGATAACATTGCACGACACTGACCTACGTTACCACAATAACTAACTTGGAACCGCCCAAGTTGGAAGGCTGCTGGAGTGCACATCCAATATGTGCTAGAGCTGATAGCCAGTTAGGTGTGGAACGTCAGTGTCGTGCAATGTTATCACATGAGCTGATTGTTTAGTAACTGGTGGAGTTGGTGGACATTATAGCATAACTTGTATTTCCTTGGTCCCTTTTCTTTTCTATAAATTTATCCTTGGCTCTCCATGGCCGAGTACATGTATAGCATCAACATCAGAATCACTGTGGACCAGGGAGTCGTAAAATACCGGTATTTTACGACTCCCTGCTGTGGACTGTGGTAGATACAGCGAGCTATGCACGAGGCTGAACCACGTGGAACGCACAGGAATTGGCGGTCCAAAATTAGCAATATTCTGATTACGTACTCCCTCCCTCCCTACACTATTACACTCCACAGTCATTAATAATAATAGTTGATCTGTACTCCCTTGGCGTATTGGCTAGTCTCGCTACAATGGATGTCCCAGCTGCATTACCATCTACAGCAAGTACTCTTGACTAAAAAAGATGGGAGAATCGCCTTTTCTCCAAACAAAGCCAGCAACAATCAAAAAAGAAAGCATGGAGCAACAGCAGATCAAGGTGTGTGTGTGGGGGGGGGGGGGGGCGGGGGACAGTGCATGCAAGAAACACCTAAGTTCCATACCGGCTGTACTAATGTGTACCGATGTAATACTATGATATTCATGCACAAAACACACGAATTACCACCCGCCCAACACAACAAGGCGAATGCCTCTTGTGGCAAAAAAATACGCCTGTTCCAGTCGCCCCTGTCCCTGTCACCCCTGCTCCTTGTCCCTGTTCCACTCACCCCTGCCCCTGTTCCACTCACCCCTGCCCCTGTTCCACTCACCCCTGCCCCTGTTCCGGTCACCCCTGCTCCCTCCTCCTTGTCACTGTTCAACTCACCCCTGCCCCTGTTCCACTCACCCCTGCTCCCTATCGTTGTTCCAGTCACCCCTGCTTCCTATCTCTGTTCCGGTCACCCCTGCCCCTGTTCTGGTCACCCCTGCTCCATGTCCGCGGCGCCTGTACAGATTTGCTAGTACAATGAAAATCAAGGAGTAGTAAAATAACGGTATTTTAATACTCCTGCTTGGAATAGGTACGTCATAACCAGGGAGTAGTTCTTCGTCTTTCTAAACCTCCCGGCTGGGCTCACATATATTCTGATCATCTTTGCCACTTGCCCAGTCATGATTAGTGATCTACCAGTGTCATAATTAAAAGCAAACCGAAAATATGTCCAGCAGGGAAGACAATCGGAAAGGGTCATACAGTCAACTTCGCTAATAGGGAGGTTTCGCTCTACGGAATTACATATGAAAATAACGTAGGAACCGCACGTAATTTTCATACGTAAAAGTCAGCGCTGTTGGGTTTCGCTCTACGTGATTTCTCCACGACTGCTAAACATGCCTTGTTGCTCTGGAGACGCGTTGGCTGCATGCGCCCAAGGCATGCACCACGAACCGAAAGTTGGCGAAACCCCGTTTTCCATTTTATTTTGCACGTGGTGTACCTTGTGTTTCGCGCGGCTTGATGGATAAATCCGGAAAATGCGAAATTATTTCAAAAAGTCCTACGGAGGACCCAACGTAGGAAAGAGCTTTCCTACGGAAATCCGTAGAGAGATTTACGTATGAAAGTTGCCCTCGCCCCCCGGCACGTACGACATACGGATTTTCATACGTAATTCCGTAGAGCGGAACCTCCCTAATAACGACTGCGGATATAATGACAGAATTTTCATGCCCAGAGCAAAGTCCCGTCTAACTGTAATACATACCGATAGAATGAGACTTCGGGTATAAGGACACTTCGCGAATAAGGATACATTTTGATGCCCTGTCGAGTGTCGTTTTCCGCAAAGTTGACTGTATCAATTATAACACAGGTGGCAAAGGTGGCAAAATATGTGCTCTCCGGATGGCATCAAATAATTATAGTGATGTCACGAACCACGAATTTTATGAACGAATAATCTAGCGAGTACCACTCAAGCGAATGAACGATTATTCTACTGCTCCCCAAAAAGTGTACATGTAGCAAACACACAACCGTGACAAGCGCTGAGACTCGAGTCAGAGTAGAGTCAACCATGCATGATCTACCACACACACATAGTCTAGTCGTTGTCTGCAGCACAGGACAACGTGTATGCATTCCAGTCGAGAGATCTAGAGTCGCGTGCGCGGTATGCAGCGTCGCCGGCCCGTCAATAGACACCCTTAGCAAACAACGGTAACGCTATTTTTTACGGTACTCGTACCTTGATCACCCAAATAGCGTTGAAGCTGCAGCGTAAAAACGTTATGGGGGCTGATTTATCGTTGTGACAAACGGTATGTTTTTTTGGCCAAATATTGCATATTCCGTACGCATTTCACCTTGTATCGCGTATATGGTGACATAAATGGTTGTACCGCGCGAAATAAAAGCTATTCTCGTGGCAACAGCGTACTGAAAATAGCATGCATCTTGCTAAAGGTCGAACCCAAATCACGGTATTTTCCCCCTTACGGTAATACCGTTACAACATAACGGTTTTTGCTAAGGGTGTCTAATATTCGAATTTTCGAACCTTAAACCTAGACTTTATCCAATTGAATATTCATTGAGGTCCAAGAGATCGAGGAAATTCGAATAATCGATTATTCGTTACATCAGTAACATCACTAATTTTAAGATGTTATTCAGGGGGGGGGGGGGGGTATCACGACACTTACACGACCACACACACACTGCGCGTACGATGCCTAGATAACTGAATCACAATAATATTTGCTTCTCAAGTACTTCCAAGAGTCCATCAACAAGAGCACGCAACTGTAACCTCTTTTCTATGGGCCAGATGCGCGGTGCGCTGCCTTCATTACATCATTCAGCTGCAGTCCGCGCATTTCAGAAAATCAAACACCACACTTTCCCTCTGGTTTGGAGTGAACTTCCGTACGGAACTGGAGTTCACGCTCCAACATGTAGAGATCGCGCAGGTACCAGAACGAATCGAGCAAAAACGGATGGGCTTGTACGAGAATTTGTGGGTTTCAGACTTTCAGTGCATGCTTTCAGAGCACAATGGAGGCAAGTTACGCAATGAAGGCAGCGCACCGCGCACTGACCCATAACCACAGTTGCATACTGTTATTCATGCACTCCTGCATGTAGTCACAAGAGTACATAAGCCCGGGTTAGAGGGTATGTGCTCTTGCTACTACCAAGCAGCAATCCTCAAATGGGTCGCAATTTCCAATTGAATATTCATTAGTTTTAAAAGGTATTAAAATCCCCTTATTCATGGCTCACACATGACGGGTTTACGTGGCTCTAGTAAAAACAAAAACAAAATGGAAACAGTTTGCATGGAACTAGCCGTGCTTGATTTAAATAGATTTGGTGTTGTTTAGGGAGGAAAGATGTACTTAGATGCATGTACGCATTCTCCCTGGCCTGATGACTGTAAAATTAATAGGTAAAATAAAAGATTGATATTGTAGTATCCCTGCCTTGCTTGATTGTAGCGTATCCCCGTGTTAGCGTATCCTCATACGTTAGCGTATCCCCGTGTTAGCGTAACCTCATACGTTAGCGTATCCCCGTGTTAGCATATCCTCGTACGTTAGCGTATCTCCGTGTTAGCGTATCCCCGTGTTAGCGTATCCCCGTGTTAGCGTATCCTCATACGTTAGCGTATCCCGTACGTTAGTGTACGTGGTCAGTTGCCTATAAAAGCGGCTGCGCATTTCTCTTTCCATATATTAATTTATATTTTATAATTACATAATAATCCAGGTGTGTACCTGAGGAAGAATAAACAGTTAATTAGAGTTAAGCACCGTGCCTCCACTCGGCTACCTATTACAATAAGAGACAGAGCGTCGTCATTGGAGTTATTTTAGTGAAGTTTCATCATGTCTGAGTGGCTGCGTTGGAGTGTGCGGACATTACCAACAGTTTATCGTGTACGCTAGGACACATCAACACTTGGAGAGGTAATGGGAGATGGGAAGCAGCCAGCTACGACCTTGCTACAACTGCTATTGGAAAACTGCGTACACTAGGCTGTCTAGAACTCAGTATGGATAGTACTGGCAGGGATAAATACAAAGTATTTAATAGAAAATACCTAGTGCCTGGATGTACTGGCAGCATGTGAGAATCTGTGCTGCTGATCCGGGTACTGACAGAAGCTAACTAAGTGCCTGGTTGCACGAGGTCGGGGGAATCAGTGGTGATCCGGGTGAAGGCAGGTACTTAGCGCCCGAGTGCACCAGGTCGGGGGAATCAGTGGTGATCCGGGTGAAGGCAGGTACCTAGCGCCCGGGTGCACCAGGTCGGGGGAATCAGTGGTGATCCGGGTGAAGGCAGATACTTAGCGCCTGGGTGCACCAGGTCGGGGAGAACTGGGCACTACTGGCACTGGAAGACCTGGTCGAGCACTGGTAGGTACCTGTGGTTTGGACAAGGTAGGTACCTGTGGTTTGGGTTTGGATACGGACAGTTGAGAGCCACTGTTGTGTACCTGGCCCCGCCTGGAGGTAGTCACCTGCCTGGCGTCACCTTGATTGCCCTTGTATTGGCTTGTGTTACCAGCTGCATTAGCAACCACATCGCCACACTCATATAAATCTTCTTCAATTGTTGCCTGGGCTTGGAACTGGGCCACCCCCGTAACATCACCACACTCGTATATATCCTCCTCAATTGTTGACTGGGCATGGTATTGGGCCACTCTCGTATTATCGCCACACTCATATACATTCTCTGCAATCGCACCTTCTCCACATTCATATATATCCTCGGGGATTGTCCCAGCAGCCTTGCAACCGGCCACTGGGTATCCATCTGCACCTATATTTAGTCCACTCGTGATGATGGCATCACTGGAGAGAATACTTCTGTTAGAATCTTTCGTTGGAATAATGTCGTTGCCGTACTCATCTTCTTCCAAAGGTTTGGTTTCATTGCCGTACTCATCTTCTTCCAAAGGTTTGGTGTTGTTGCCATACTCGTCTTCTTCCAAAGGTTTGGCATCGATGCTCGGTGACATTGCGGCTGCTGTTGCTGCTGCCATCGTATTGTTTTCATACTCAAGTACTGACGCTCCACTGATGCCTGCACTCTCGCTGCTTGTGACTGGACACCAGTTGGTAGATGTGGCTGGAAGCATGTCATCCCCGCATTCATACTCGTTATCATCTTCTGCAGCTGCCATGATAGAACTGCAGGTGACTGGTTTACTGCTGCTATCCGGGGCGACGGCTGTACATGTATTGATCTGCACACTGCTACTTCCCCTACAACTCAGGTTGGTGCAGGAGTTAGTTGGAGACATGCTACTATTGCCGTAGACATCTGTGTCGTCACTGAGAGCGGTGCTGGGTGGGTTCCCCACACAGGCAATGCGAGTAACAGAGTTTGTCGGAGACATTCCATTGCCATAAACGTCTGTGTCGGCGTTGATGATGATACTGGATTTCGGAGACATTCCATTGCCATAAACGTCTGTGTCGTCGTTCATGATGATACTGGATTTTGGAGACATTTCATTGCCATAGATATCGGTGCTGTTGTCAGTAATGTTGCTGGTTGGGATCATGACGGCACTGTGCTGTGCTCCAACATTTCCCTGACGTTGAATGTGTGTGCGAGAGCTGGCTGGAGACATTTTATTGTGATGGAGACGAGTGCTGCTGTTGCTGACGCTGCCAAGCTGCAGTCCAACATCTTCAATAGAGCTGAGGAGTGTGCAGGAGTTCGGCGGGGACATTTCATTGCCATAGATGTCAGTGCTGGTTTCAATAATGCTGCTGGTTGGATTGACGGCACTGCAGTGCAGCAGCATTGCAGCACTTTCCCCACTTACGCTGTTAGAATAGTCGGTGGCTGACGTGTCATTGACATAGATGTCTGCATTGCCGTGGATTGAAGCCATCTTAGCTGGACTGCAACGGCCTGGCCTTGCCGCTGATCCCAGATTAGTCCGATTTTGGTAATCGGTTGACAGGTTTAGTTCAACGCCGTGCTGCTTGTGCAATGCCGGCAGCCTGGGATCTTGCGCGTGCCCTTTGTCCGTGCAAACATCGTAGGTACTCGAGTGCTCCAGTGCTTTCTCACCGAGGTTCTGGTACTGACTAGCACTACTGGCCTGGGCCCTCAAACTCAACCCGCTGTCCATGGTATTGTAATAGTCTTCTGTCGCACAATCGGACGACATTGTGTCCCTGCTTGGCTTGGTCAAACGGTTGGATTCTCTGCTGAAGCTCGTAGTGCCTGTGTGCGTTGATGTGTCAGCGCCCAGTGTTTGTTTATCAGCTGCAGAAAAACGGGAAAAAAGCGTCAATTATAGAAAACCTTTCATGCAGCACAAGGAGATGCAGAGAAGGCATTACAGTGCGTTGCGCAGCGATTGAATGCAAACACAATACACAGATTCAAGTAGTACTGTAAACCAGCCATTATTCTAACGAGGCGCATATATAGCGATTTCCCAAAAATTGACTAGTTTATGTGTACCAAAGGTAACGATTCTCACTCATTCTCCACGCTCAATAGGACAGTATGTGTATCGATTTCTGTATAACGATTTCTATTTTAACGACAGATTTCTACTCGTTAACTCGTTAGAGTTTGCACTTCGTTATATATGGCTTTTACAGTAACTTGCATGGAATCATTCTATTAAAATGAAAATAACTTTCAGCTGTGGCAAATCCTCTGTTGCGGGGCCCATGCACACGGCGGACAGGCAAACACAACGAAACGTAAATGTATGCACATGAGAACACACGGACACACGAACACATGGAGACAAAGACTCACAGACATGCAAACACAAGTATGCACAAACACGTGCACACACACCCACATGAACATGCACACACGGACATGCACACACGGACATGCACACACAGACATGCACACACGGACATGCACACATGGACATGCACACACGGACATGCACACACGGACATGCACACACGGACATGCACACACGGACATGCACACACAGACATGCACACACATGGACATGCACACACGGACATGCACACACGGACATGCACACACGGACATGCACATGCAAACACGTACACACATACACAAAACAGTACGAAGCGGGACCAAAAATCCTGAACAACTTACATTTTCCCCGTCTAAGTTCAGCCAAATGCATTATTTTCGGTACGTCCTTGCCACGGAAACGGACTAAGAGCGCGCCTATCGTCACTGCCGCCACACCGACCACAGCACTTACTGCAGCAGCCACAACCGCTGAAGCACTAGAGCCAGCTGATTCTTCTGTTTGTTCGGCAAGCAATAACAGAGAAGGAATGCAGACAAAAGTGCCAAGGAGCGAAATCAGCACACACACACAATAGCAGAAATGCCCCCCCCCCCCCACACACACACTCACGCCTTCCAGCATTTCGAATTTCCAAACCAACTACCAAAAAAAGCACAACCATAAGCGTAACCCCATTCCACACCCTCCACCCCCCCCCCCCCCCACACACACACACATACCCCTTTGGACCTTTGGATGCCCATTGCTCCATGCAATGATAACATCAGGAGTTGCAGCATTTCCTGTGGCGAGTTAGATTGTTGGGCGGACGGAAGTCCCTGCCGCAGCCGCAAATGAACGTTCTAGGCTTTGGCACAGCTAGCCGGGGACAATCGCATTATAAGGCGCCAGTCTCGTCTGTCCTGCGCCAAGTCGCACCAGTCACCTGTCACGCACCGAGCACTCAGATCAGCAGTGGCAATGTCCCTCCAACGTTTCTTGGGATCATGCCTGGGCCTTGTGTTGAGTCCCTCAGCAAACAGAACACGCTTAGGGGAGACGGGAATCCTCCATTCGCCCAAGGTGGCCAAGCCAGCGTAAACAGTGACAGAGCACGACCTCCGCCATTCACGACGGCATACCAAAACGACGGGCTAGTTCGTCAGAAGAAATGCCCTCCTGCCACTGCTGGTGCCGAGACACATCCGGAATCACTCGGATACAATGGTGATGCTGGTCCCGAGACACATCCGGAATCACTCGGATACAATGCTGATACAATGGTGATACAATGGTGATACAATGGTGATACAATGCTGATACAATGGTGATGCAATGGTGATACAATGCTGATACAATGGTGATACAATGCTGATACAATGGTGATGCAATGGTGATGGAATACCTTCAGGCGATGTAGTTGCGAGGCCTTCAACGTCCAGGCCCCTGACGCATAAAACAGGACCATCAAGACGCAGGCTTGGTACACATAGCGCCGTGTCCCAAGAGACAGTGATGTGTTGAGGAAGATGGGGTTCTCTAGGCTGCCTCTCTCCCTTTCTCTCTCTGTGTCTCTGGTCCCTCCGAATCCCAGTCTCTCTGTTGCTCTCTGTCATTGTTGCTCTCTGTCTCTATCTCTATTGCTCTCTGTCTCTCTGTATCTGTCTCTGTCTCTCTATGCCTCTGTCTCTCTCTATCTCTCTGTGCCTCTGTCTCTATCGGTCTCCTCTCCTCTTTGTCTCTCTCCCTCTGTCTCTCTTTCTGTCTGTCTGTCTGTCTGACTCTCTCTCTCTCTCTCTCTCTCTCTCTCTCTCTCTCTCTCTCTCTCTCTCTCTCTCTCTCTCACACACACACACACACACACACACACACACACACACACACACACACACACACACACACACACACACACACACACACACACACACACTCACTCTCTCACTCTCTCCCTCACTCTCTCTCACTCACTCACTCTCTCACTCTCTCACTCACTCACTCACACACACACACACACACTCTCTCTCTCTCTCTCCCTACGTTTGTCCCTCCGTCTCGCTGTCTCTCTGTCTCTGTTTCTCTGTCTTCTCTTTTGAGAGGGCGGGTGTATCGGTGAATATACCCTGCTCAAAATGGCCGCTGGTTGCCTGAAATATCAGTACAATGGGAAAACGTGTATTTTGATAACTCACCTTGACAAGACAAGCCACTGCCTGTAAAA